ACCTGATTTGAACCCACCTAGCCCCTCCATAGGAGAAAGACCTGGCAATCTGCTCGCATAAAGATTACAGCCTAGAAAACCCTATAAGGCAGTTCTGTTCTGTCACATGGGATAGCTATGAGTAGAAAATAAACTCAACGGCATGCACAACAACAAAGTAGCTTCCAGCCCCTTCCCCCCACCTTGAACCATCTGCCTGTGTTCTCTGAGTTGTTGCCTTCCCTGCTAATTACTCTTGTTAGTTGGTACTCTGGTTATAAAGTCTCATAGATTTCAAGTTGTCTGCCTCCAGCATGCTATTGATGAATGCAAGATCTTTCAGAAATCTCTTTTCCATGTTACAGCAGAAATGCCTGTATTCGTTCAGCTCCATCCTGGGCTAGAGCTGAGAATGGAAGGGTGAGCAAAAAAATAGAGATCATTCCTGCTTCCACAGAGGCGATTGCTCATGCAAAAGACAGTCGATCATTGACCAACTTATAAATACACACAGAGACCATGCTCTGAGTGAATGGTGCAATGTTTTATGAGAGTGTATATCAGGAACTTGTTTCAAACTGGGTGTCAGGGGTAGCTTTTGGGAGGAAGTGGCTTTTGAGTGCAGTTCCGGGGCTGTACAGTGGGAGTGAACCAAGCACAATGTGTGTGAGAGTAGTGGGTGGGGTGGAGCAGTGTGGACAGTGTTCCAGACAAAGGGAAGAACATAGCCCTTGAGGTAGGAAGAAGCTCTTTGCAATGAGGACCCGAGAAAAACGAGTGTGGGCAGAACCTAGAATCCAAATGGTGAGCTAAAGAGAGAGAGACAGACTAGCTCTGTGATGTGCAGGTATCACTATCCCTGATGTCATATAAGGAAGTGGAGGCTCAGAGACGGTGAGTAATTTAACCAAACTCACACGGCCACTAAGTACAAGACCTGGGTTTTGGACTCAAAATTCCTTTAACAGCAAGATAGTGCAGTTACTAAAAATTACTTTAGGAGAAGATATTTTTTGAAGAAAATTACTGCTGGGGGATCATACTAAGTGGTGATTTGTTTGTGATAATATGCACTTAACCAACTATACACATATATGTATTAATTGCTGTAGAGTCCGTTCTGACTCATGGCAACCCCATGTATGTCAGAGTACAACTGTGCTTCATAAGGGTTTTCAGTGGCTGATTCTTCAGAAGTCTATCACCAGGCCTTACGAGTTGCCTCTGGGTGGACTCGAATCTCCAACCTTTTGGTTAGCAGCAGAGTATGTTAACTCTTTGCACCACCAAAGGTGCAACTAAAGTATAAAAAACCAACTAAAGTATAAAAAACCAAACCTGTTGCCGTCTAATCGATTCCGACTCATAGCGACCCTATAGGATAGAGTAGAACTGCCCCATAGGGTTTCCAAGGCTGTAAATATTCACAGCAGCAGACTGCTGCATCGTTCTCCCATGGAGTGCTTGGGTTCAAACTACAGATCTTTTGGTTAGCAGCCGAATGCTTAACTGCTGTGCCACCAGGACTCCTCAGCTAGAGTATGCAAATTCCTATATTTAGACCAGGGTTCTAGGGGCAGAATCAAATTACCATCAGTCCAGTTCACTTTCAAGTAAATTCCATTTTTTTTCAAAAGTAATCTAGAATATTTTCTTAATACATCATTGGCATTTTGGTCAACTTTGGCAATTTCATATTATTCAACCTGACATGATATCTGGTTATCATAGTTGCTTATATCTGTAATCTAAATTTTCTGTCTAGATCAACCCTGTCCAACAGAACTTTCTATGATGATAGAAATTGTAAAAATGGTATGGGGGCAGTGTCTGACCTCCTCTAGCTTTGCAAAGGAGAATCACAATCAATAGCCCAAGGCTGATTCTTACGAGGCGGAGGTCAGACATGCCTCCTCTCTCTGCCGTCTTTACTAATTCTGACACCAACCATCCCTCCCACAGCACTCTCTACTTCTCTGCCCCCAGGGACTTATAAACCTCACTAGTGGATTGTATTTTTTTCCCCTCGACTTCTCTGCTGGGTTCGATAATTCACTGCAGTGGCCACACAGAACTCACAGACTCTGGTCACAATTATGGGGTTTATTAGGGAAGTAACAGGTTACAATTCAGGTTCAGGAACACTCAAGGATACAGCTCTTCCATCAGGACAGCATCTTCCCAGCTGCGCTCACGGGCACGCCTCTCCCTGGCCCTCAGTCTCTGCCCAGAGGCACTCAATTTTCTCACTCTTTGGGCTGGGAAGCACACTGTGCTGTCTCCTGCAGGTCTTTCTTGCCAGTCTCTCCTTCCTTGTTGGTGGTGGGTTCTTCTCTTTCCTACCTCTGGGGCAGCTTATTTCAAGCCCAGTGGCAAAACTGACCAGTCCCTGTGGTGGTCCACAATTACCCCATCACACAGTCCCTCAGTCATCTGGGTAGGAGTTCAAAGACCATAGCTAGAAAGGCCACACACAAAAGTAATCAATCGCACCTCAGAAATGTTCTATGTCTCTTGTCTAGTAGGTTGTTGGCCGTTAGCACATGTGGCCATTAAGTATTTGAAATTTTATTCAATTTTAATTATTTTAAATGTAAATAGCCACATGTTGCTGATAGCTATTATAGATTGTGCCTCAAAAAAGTGTTTTCAGACTCTTAAGGAAATTATTGAATCCACTGAAAGAAATTAAAACTGCATGACCTTTTAGTGAAGGGGAGTCTGGTTTTATTCTAGAGCTCTGCCTTCTTGGTGCTAAGTTCATCAGCTGGCAATGAATGACAGTTGTATGCAAATCCATTTCTTCAGTATATCCTTCTCTGGTTAACATTTAAATTTCAGATGTGCTTCATTTTTATGCCTAGGCATTTGTCAGTCCACAGTGGCTTCTAATCTCAATCTTAAATTTGTCAGTCTAATTTTTTTCTCTATGTTGTAAATGAGACCCAAATGAGCACTTAAATGTAGGATGAAAGAACTCTTCTGTGGAATCATTTTGAACAGCAAATTCTCATACATTAATTTGTCTTTAATTTGCAAGTTTAGATAGCACTTCCTTAAATGTTAGAATTTGTATAGATATTTTCATAGATAGCAAACTCCTTGAGAGCAGGAGCCATGCTTTATTCATCTCTGTATCTGGAGTACCTAGTTCAGTGCCCAGCATGCTCAATAGATGTTAATTATATCGAGTTTTTCCATAATGGAAAGGTACAGTATTCCTTACATTTTTAGAGAAATGTGGAGTGTCAGAATAGATCACTAAATCTCACTACCAACCAACCAGCCAGTTGCTGTCAAATCAGCTCCAACTGATGGCAATCACATGTGTGTCAGAGTGGAACTGTGCTCCATATGGGTTTGCAGTGGCTGAATTTGTGGAAGTAGATGGCCAGGCCTTTCTTCCAAGGTACCTCTGGGTCTACTTGAAACTTCAGCCTTTTGGTTAGCGGCCGAGCGCATTAACCATTTTCACTCCCAAGGACTTCTAAACCTCACTAGTGGATTGAATTTTTTTCCGCTTCCATAATATTTGGATTTAATCTCCAATCATTGCTCGTGCAGATTTAGATACATATGAAACATTAAGGCAAAGAACAAGAGCAAAGCCTATTTTAGATAAGGAGTAAACGTTGAAAGGAAACCCTGGTGGCACAGTGGTTAAGAGCTCAGCTGCTATCCAAAAGGTTGGCTGTTTGAATCCACCAGGGGCTCCTTGAAACCCCTATGGGGCAGTTCTACTCAGTCCTGTAGGGTCGCTGTGAGTTGGAATCAACTCGATGGCAACAGGTTTTTTTTTAAACGTTGAAAGCTGGAGTTACTATGGCTAAGGCATGCTTTTGTTCCAGGATGTCCTCAAGAATCCCAGTTTACACATGCTGAACCAGTGTGTTTATCTGTAGAGTCCCTTTTCTCTCTCAATAATGCCCTGGCCAAACGATAAATTATATAGTCATTTACCTCCTCTGGTTAAATTACCATTACTCATGTACTTGTCTTATTTCCTGTTCCCCAGAGGAAAGGGGTGGAGTCATAGGCCCCTTTGTATATCCCAGTTTAATGCTTTGTACATCCTAAGCAACAAATGTTTATTGAAAGGATAAATGAATGAAGAGGTATGCTGTAAGTCCTGTACTTCAGTTAGAGCCCTTCACTAGTCTGTAGACATTTTCAAGGAGGCATTCCCCTTGTTTTGGAGATATGTGAGTTAACCAATTCCAATGCACCTGACCTTTTTATCACAGAAACTGGGGAATAATACATAAATTGTTTTTTTTTTCCTCTTTTAACATTGTTTTCCTTTGATTTTCAAATAGCATCAGAGAATGCGTAAGTTAACCTTTCCAAATGGTTACAGAACGGTTGTACAAATGCAGACTGTTTCTAATTACTTGCATTTATTGATCTGCCCAACACTTATTGAGTGTTTATAGTGTGTACAGTATGCTGACTTACCATGCTCATGCGATAAAAACCCACATATCTCAAAAGTAAAACTTGTTTTTATTCCTTTGGATGAAAGTTATTTTCTGGGTCATGGACTAGGTTTTCAAAATCTGGATCCTCCTGGCTCATAATAAATACAAGAAGAACCCTTCATACTTGGGTAGAGCATATTGGCTAAACTGTTAGTTGCATTTATATTTAGAGAACAAAATATAGGGTTGAATTTGGTCCTTGAGTCTTTAGACTTTGAGTATTGAAGGTTTCTGGCTGTTGTGGGATGAATTCTCTTGGTCACCTTGTTATGTCAGTGGGACAATACCATGTGTCTATCTGCAGATGGACTGGTTGGTTGGCTTTTCCCAGTTTTATGGTTTTAGTTCATCCCTGGGCCCTGGCCTGCTCATCTACCAAAGGAGTTATTTGTGGAGTGCTTTAAAGGCAAGCCTGAGTACAGACTCATCCATTACTACCAAAAGCTGTGCATTTACTCCCCATACTGAAGATGATGTAATTGTGTGACATTTCTCATGTATAACCTTGTTTGAAATATAATTTTTGTGTGTTTTTATTCCTAGGTCAATGTACTTTTATTTACACATTATAAGTCTCCTGATAATACTATCTCTGCCAATCAAACCACAAGCTAATACTCAAAGACAGCCTCAGATCCTGAACTCTGTTAATAAGAAAAAAACAGATTGATACCTCCGAGAAAAGCTGGACAAGTAAAACTGTAAAACATTCGAAAGATAAGAGGACTTGAGGATTTTCCAGTGGCTTAGAGGCAATGTTTACGTGGCTTTTTTTTTTTTTTTTAAGTGCAGGGAGTATTTTTACAAAGATGTTTTGGCTATTTAAGTTAGCCATATCCAGTTGATTTGTTTTAGTATCTTATAGGACATCTGAATGGTGTGGAGGTGTGTAAAGAATGGGCCAGAGCTGGAGAGACAGACCATTCTGGGATGCTGGATCTTTGCTTCTGGGGGCTTTCTGATGTCCAGCTACAGAAATCTGGGTGCTGGGAACCCAGGCATTGGTTCCAGAAGTTAGAAAGAGATTGCTAAGAAGCCTTGTCACAAGGTTCTTAAACCAGAACCATACCCAGACAGGGCTGTTCCTTGGGAAGTCCCAGATCCTTTAAAATTTGACATTACTGGTTTGCAGACACAAGAAGTCCACTCAGAAGACGGTGGAGGACGCGAATCGTGGAGAGAGATTTCAGGGCACGGGAGGCTCTACAAACCGGGAGAGCTCAATGTGAACACTTGAATTGGACCAAAAATCAGGCATGCCTAAAGTAGGCTGGTTTTTTCCCAGGAACGTAACCCTTTCCTTTTTTTCTTCTGAACTGAGCCAAGATTGGAAATCAGAGAGTCTCCTATACAACAGGAGTCTAGGAGTGGCTACTGTTTTCCTGATGTTTTCCATTTCAAATGCGCCATCTGCTTGCCCAGGGACGGCCCCTGAGAAGACACCCCAATGTTCCTGCCATTAAGTGCAGCAGAATATCTTTTAAAGAAATAATTTCATAAAAGGTAATTAAAGTTATATAGAAGTTTGGTAAGAAGAAGCAGATCTCACTCTCTTTTCCGCTCATTTCATAGACGTGTTGATGATCGTGGCCATGATGTACACGTGGACTGGTTTTCATTTTCCAGGGTCATAGCTGATGAAATCCAACTTTGTTTTAGTTGAGTCATTGTCTTAGAAAGCAGAAATTGAAAAACAGTTTTCTTTTCTATCTTTGCTGTGAATGTGCTGTGGCTCTTTCTGGGGACTCTATTGGGCAATAATCTATGTGGGAGAAGGAAAAATGGATTAAATTGTGTGGAAAATAATAATCATAAAATGTAAGCAACTATGGTTGCCCTCAGTCAGATGGTTTGCAAGGAGAGAATTTGTTTAAATCAGATGGTAAAAAATGAATTTCTTACTGAATAGTGTGTTTCTCTATAAAAGAAATACTTCTGAACACAACTGCTTTCTGTTTGTGTTGATAGAGACTCGATGTTCTGAAACGTGTATATGTTTTAACAGTTGTGCACACACTTAAAGTTTTACTTGCCTAAAATGTGAGCATTATAGCATACTTAAATTTTACTATATGTCAGGCACGTGGATGGATTTGTGTGTGTGTGTGGTAAAAATATGTGTAACAAACCATTTGCCAATTCAACAATTTTTACATTTATAAACCAGTGACATTGATTGCATTCATCATGTTGTGCTACCGTCACCACTGTCATTTTGCAAATTGTTCCACCACCATTAACAGAAACTCAGTGCCCCTAAGCAGTGATTCCTCCTTTTTCCCTCCCTCCCACCCCTGGTAACCACTAATAACCTTTGGTCTCTATACGTTTGCCTGTTTTCATATAAGTGAGATCATACAGTATTTGTCCTTTTGTGACTGACTTATTTCACTCAGCATAATGTTTTCAAGGTTCATTTATGTTGTAGCATGTATCAGGACTTCATTTCTCTTTATGGCTGATTAAATATGTATATAACACATTTTGTTTATCCATCTGTTGATGGACACTTGGATAGTTTCCAATTTTGGCTATGTGAGAAGTACTGCAATGAACATTGGTGTACAGGTTTCTGTTTGCGTTCCTGCTTTTAATTCTTTTGGGTGTATACCCAGAATTGGGATTGCTGCATCATATGATAATTCTATTTTTAACTTTTTGAGGAACTGCCAAAATGTCTTCCACAGCAGCTGTACCATTTTGCATTCCTACCAGCAATGGATGAGGATTCTGATAATTTTTTTTTTGGAGTGGGGTTATGATTTCTGATCTTGACTCCTAGCGTTACAAGTAGGATTTCTCCCTTAGACAGATGAGGAAACTGAGACCCAGAGAGATGTTTGGTAACTTCCTTAAGGCCACAGAATTAGTGGTAGAGCTGAGATTTTAATCTAGCATGGCCTCGTGAAACCTGTTAGTCCTGAGCTGTCACCTTCCCATGTGACTGGCACTTCTCTTAGGACGATGAAATACAAAAGTGATATGATTGTCCTTTAAAGAGTTCATGTGGTCTTGGTGTTGGGGAGAGGACTAGAATCTATATTCTACACCTTCCATGGGATAATGGATGTTAAGAAGTACCACATTTGGGCCAGTGTATGAGCCTCACCCCAACTAACCAGGAAAGTTTTGGGGCAACCATACTTTGCTGTCTTAAGGCAAATAGTAAGTAGTGGGTAGGGGCTAGGGAAAGGGCCGTGGTGGCACAGTGGTTAAGCGCTCAGCTATGAACCAAAAGGTCGGCGGTTCCAACCCACCAGCCACTCCGTGGGAGAAAGATGTAGCATTCTGCTTCCATAAAGATTACAGCCTTAGAAACCCTATGGGGCAGTTCTGCTGTGTCCTACAGTGTTGCTGAGTTGGAGTCAACTTGATGGCAGCTTTTTTTTAAAAGAGGCTAGGAGCTGTAGGTGCCTAAAAGCTCTCAGGGTCTGTCTCCAACAGGAATACTTTGTGATGCCAGAACAAGAAAAATGCCTATCTTGCACACCAGCAAAAAGTGTCTATCACCATCAGTGTAAACTGTGTGAAATGGAGTCCTGGGGTGGTGCACGTGGTTAATGCACAGGAAAAGCCTGGCCAATCTACTTCAGAAATCAGCCATTGAAAACTCGATGGAGCACAGTTGTACTCTTGTTGCACATGGTGTCGCCATGAGTGGGAATCTTTTTTTTTTTTTCTACCGTTAGCATGAAGCATGTGAAATGATTCATATTACGATGAAATCTTTGAACTTGCAGTGTGATTTGTGACCAGGTTAAGTATTTAAGTATCTTAATTTCCAAGAGAGGAACTTTGGTAGTGAGAGGAGAGGTGTCCACTAGAGTGACCAACTGTACTCCTTTGCCAGAGACTCTCCCAGGTTTAGTGAGCCCTAGTGGTACAATAGTTAAGCACTCAGCTGTTAACCAAAGGATTTAACAGTTCGAACACACCTGACGGCTCTGTGGGAAAAATACCTGGCAGTCTGTTCCCGTAAAGATAACAGCCAAGATCTACAAAATAAACAGTAACACCTGAGAGGAGTGAGCTCCTTAGAACAGTTAATTATATGAGACCAAAAGAGCAAAATCATCCCAAAAGCAAAGACAAGAAGGCAGGAAGGGGTAGGAAAACCAGACAAAAGGTAATGGAGAACTCAGGGCGGAAATGGGGAGAGTGCTGATACGTTGAGGGGACTACAACCAATATCTTGGAACATTCTGCGTACAAATTGTTGAATAGGAAACCCTTTTACTCTGTAAACTTTCACCTAAACCATAAAAAACCTGACAAAAAAAAAAAAAGATTACATCCAAGAAAACGCTATGGGGCAGTTCTGCTCTGTCACATGGTGGGGAAGGGTGACTATGAATTGACACCTAACAACAACAAAAACTCTTGATTTTAGCACTGGAAGACCCTTATTCTAGGAAACCCCTGGACAAACTGCCATTCTGGGCCAACTGAATGGCTGGTCCCTCTGGTGACCACCCAGAATTAATAACCCATGATGGAGTGCAGCTTCTTGGGTCTGGGCTTATGGACACTGTAGGTCAGACTTGGTGCTAGCCCCTGCAGCACAAAGAGGAAAAACCTTACCCATCATTTTTCTCACTGGGGGGCCTTATTCAGCACTAAAAGGGCAACACAGTAGAGGAGTGATTAGGTACCTTTTTCCTCCTGAAAATCTGTGGAGTAAAGAATTTAACGTCACCTAAGGAGTTTGGTCTTTGTCCTTGGTTCCTGAAAGATAACCACCAAAACCTTGGACTTTAGCCAGTGATTAGAGTATCTTTGATGAGGCATTTAGACGACACCTGAGGATATATGGCTCATGTTGGGTGGAGGCTGTGCCAGAAAGACCCACCATGTGATGTCAACCTCATGATATCAACTAACATCAGGGAGAGGGACTGGAGGTTGAATTATGTAATCGCTCTGAGCTTCCTGGTTGGTGATAAACATTGATGAACGTGGGAGAATAGTGTATCCCTTTTTGGGACATGGAACCTTCACATTGGGAACCTCTAGACCTCGCCGTATGTATCTCTTCATTTGTATCCATTTATCCATTTGTATCCATAATAGAACTGTAATCATTAAGTATGGTGCTTTCCTGAGTTCTGGGAGTTGTTCTAGCAAATTAACGAACCCAAGGGAGTAGTGGGAGCCAGAATTGGCAGTCTGGAGGACTGTGCCCTTTAACTTGGGAGATCTGTCCTAGTTCTGGGGGTTAAAGCTAGGGGAAGAAGTACTGATTTACTTAGTTGGTGTCAGAGAAGTGGAATAGATTATATTGATTTGCAGTTGATCATATCAGGACACTTTCCCCATAGGAAAAAAAAAAATCTCAATTTTGGACCAAAATTTCGACAGATGGTTGGGATTATTTTCATTGCCTTAGATTCCCAAGTTATCCTAAATGCAATATATATTTAAGAAATACACATTGCATTGGTGAGCTTTTAGTTTAAGAGAAATGCATTGGTGATTGCTTTTGAAGAAGTCACATCTAAAATACTTCCTTTTTCTTGTTAAGGTAGCCATAAAGAATAATAAAACTATTCAGCAGTTGCAAAAAGCAATGCTTGATTCAATCTGAGATTTTGATTGGTTAAGGGAGAAAGGGGGCATTGACAATTCAGTGGTAGAATTCTCGCCTTCTATACAGGAGACTGTATTCGAGTCCCGGCCAATACACTTCATGTGCAGCCACCACCCATCTGTCAGTGGGGGCTTTCATGTTGCTATGATGCTGAATGGGTGCACCTGGTGATATACTTCTGAAAATCAGCCAGTGAAAACCCTATGAATCACAACAACAAGGATGCTGAATGCTGTATCTCTGCCCTTGAAGAACTCATGATGTGACCAGGATGACCGAATCAAAGGTAGTGTGCTATGAGGAGAGCCCAGGAGAATACCAGCATTTAGAAATTATAGAGATTGAGTGACTTATCCTTGTTTTCCTGCAAGTTTAGAGCTACTTCATTTCATGGTGCCTGAAGATTATCCAGGTCGGCAGCATCACATCTCTCCAGCTTCATGGCCAGGTGAAATTAAGCTTGACCTTGTCCTGAAATTGGATGCTGACCTTGCAGCATGTGCATACCAGGGAATGCAGTAGCTGCCCACAGGGGCTACCTCCACTTTCACTGTTGCGCATAGAGGTAGTGGGGTGGCTAAGCCTCTTTGGAGGGATTTTAATGAAGGTGGAGACTCAGTGAGTCATGAGGCCCAAGAAGAAAGGTACTTGCATATGGAATGCACAGCCAAAGTGAGCTTCGTCTAACTCTCTAAATTTATCTAAGATCGCTGCTACTAATCTAAAGGTTGGCAGTTCAGGCCAACCTGGTGGCACCATGGAAGAAAGGCCTGGCAATTTGCTTCCATAAAGATTACAGTCAAGAAGCTCTTACGGAACAGTTAGTTCTACTTTTTAACACATGGGGTCACTATGAGTCAGAATCGACTCAATGGCAACCAACAACAACAGCATTTATTGAGAGTTTTACGTGCCTTGTCTAATACAAAACCAAAAACCAAAAACAAACAAAAACCATTGTCATCAAGTCAATTCTGACTCACAGTGACCCTACAGGGCAGAGTAGAACTACCCATACGGTTTCCAAGGATCACCTGGTAGATTCGAACTGCCAACCTTTTGGTTAGCAGCCATAGCTCTTAACCACTCCAGCACCAAGGTTTCCTTATCTGATACAGTTCCATGAATTTGACGTTATTGCCCTCTCTTTGCAAAGGTGGAAACCAAGGCTCAGAGATTATAAGTAACTTGCCCAAGGTTACCCAGCTACTTAGTGGAGCAGCTGAGGTTTGAATTCTGGTTTGACTAACTTCAAAGTCCATCTTACCCCATTGTGCAGAAGCACTTTTGGTTTTTTGAGAGACCAAGGGTTTTAAGGCTGAAAGCAACTCTAGAACTCATCTGGTTGGGTGGTTTCCAATGCATACTGGCTGGTCCAGTCATTCGGGGAGTGGCAACCAAACCAAAACCAAATCCATTGCCATCAAGTCAGTTCTGACTCATAGCAACCCTATAGGACAGAGTAGAATGCCCCATAAGGTTTCCAAGGATTGGCTGGTGGATCCGAACCTTTTGGTTAGCAGCCATAGCTCTGGCAAGGAGTGGGGAAATAGATTTGCTAGTGAAAACAAAATACTGATTGTAGCTACTTCCACCTTCTAAGGGGAGCAGCATACTTAATATCAGTGAAGGACAATTGGTAAACTTTCTGTAACTTACTTCCGGCTAGGGGAGGTAAGAACCTGGTGGGGGTGGGAGCCAAGTT